GCGCGTTTCTCAGAGAAGGGACAGAGCAGCGTGGAATAAAGGTAAATTATGTGAAAAATAATGCGTTTTTTTTAAAACGAAGCATTAACACATGTTAGACTGCACCCCATAAACACAATCAAGCCTAGAAATAAACTGAACCACCCCTTTAAAAAATGGCATTAATGCAAATTACTGCACTGCACAAACTGCTTTCTGATTTTGCCATGAATATTGAGAACCTAATAAAAAGGTAGATAGCGGGTGCAGCTGTTTGTGCACACAGCGGCACATCCAGGTGTATCAGAGACATTGAAACTGGACTACATGCATACTGAAGCTCTGATTGAAATGCTTTTTGTGTTGTGGGACTATGGCATCCCCTCCATCACCTTTACCTTCCTCCCCGGTCACGGATCTTTGCAGGCGATGATGGGAGAGTGGCGGCATGACATCCAGACGCAAAAACCGCTGTGTGATGTTGATGTGTGCCGTCCACACCCACCCCTCCTCGCCCGGTTGTTTTGTCAGCCCATCATGCCCGCTTACTCTCTGACGCATTTGGCTCTCACACTCACCCCCACCTGAACGATTGACGCGACGTTGAGCGATTTCACCCTTATCTGCTCCGGCCCATTCAGGTGGGGGGCTTGTGAATTGCGTCAATGCCCTCAGCTTGCTTTTTTGTCTTGGCTTGTCTGTCTTTCCCTCTCCCCCTATATCTCCTTCTCACGCTGGCTAAAGCACACGCACGCTCGTGCTCTCTCCTTTCGTCTTTGTTTACGTTGCCCGCCGCTTTTGCACCTGCCGCCAGGGAAAACAGTTCAGTTGAAATGTCGTCATATGTATTGTGATCCGTCGTGCATTGCGTGCCATTGCAGGCTGCAGGATTTGGCTGGAAACATGTTCATCATAAACGCCCCTTTTAAAAAAGGCAAGGTGTAAATGGGATGGTGAATTCCTGATGAACTAAACAGCAAAGTAATAACAATAGTCATCGCCTCGCTAACTGACCTAAGTCTGGCCTCTCTGTGACTTCTGCATTCCTCGTCTTCCACTTGAGATGAGTGATTTACAGTCGGCCACACCTCAGCACAGCTAACGGTTATGCCGCTAGGAAAAAAGTCCTCATGTAAAGTCGCTTTCAGATTTGTTCCCAGCATGTGTTTGCTTTCCTCAGCTGTCGTCTGTTCTCCTGGAATGATGACGCTGTTTCACTGGAAATCTAATATTGAATTATAGGCCTCAGGAAGCTGGGGGGGAGAGATGTTAGGGGGGGACGTGTGCTGGTGTTAGCTCTGTGTGCTTGTGTTCTTGTGAGTGAAAGGGTGTGTATGTAATAAAGCTGCAACGGTTCAGATTTCTCTCAGTTCAATTTGTATCATAGTTCTGTGGTCATCGTTTCAGTAAATATTTGGCGTGCTGCTATTAGGGAGGAATGAATTGGGATAATGATATTTAACAAAAAAACATATGCTGCAGAATAATGACCTGTAAATTAGTCAAAAAATTTAATATTTATTTATTTATTTATTATTGGCTGATATATTTGCCATTTCCATCATCAAGCACTAAGATATCTAACCAGTATTCCAGAGGTCTCTCATCTATTATTTTGAGGACTTAATTTGCGCATGTTTTTCCTAAATACACTTGTAGCATAACAAGCTAATAATTTTAACTTCAAGTGTGGTTTTTTTAATTAATTTTAAGTAATATAGATTGATTATATCAGATATTTACTGGGAATAATATGAAATAATTATTGGCTTATCGGTATTATTATTTTGTGAATTGTCAACATTCATTGTTATTAGGGTTGCAAAAAGGTGGAAAATTTCCAGTAAATTTCGGAAACATTACAGAAATTTTGGAAACTTTCCAGGATTTTTTGAAAGTTTCCGGAAATTTACCGGACATTTTTCAACCTTTGCAACCCTAATTGTTATATATAGAAGATGTGAATTAAAAGTATAACATCATACTGTATTTTATTTCATTAATCATATATTATATAAGATATTATATCTCTCATAATTATATGTCATGTGTGAACCGTGCTGGCAAAATGAGTCGGAATGCACACGGACTAATTTTGAGCTACAGGCAAAAAAACTGAAAAATGTCAAATTTGAGGTTTTCACAAAAAAGAGTAGATTAAACCCTCATCTAGCGTTCCCAATGAACAGTTGGGGAAAAACATCTGATGTGTAACATTACATTAGATCCATGCATTACAGTAGGCTTTAATACTGTATATAGGCGTCTGTCTCATTAAAGGGGTTATATGATGCAATTTCAATTTTTCCTTTCTCTTTGCTGGATAGCTGACCAATCAGAGCACACCTCGCTTTTCAGACTGATGAGCTTTGTAAAAATCGACGCGTTTCAGAAAGGCAGGGGAGAATAGAGGAGAAACAATAATGTACAGTATGTGGAAAATAATGTGTTTTTTGAACCTTAAACCACAAACACATTTCATTACACCAAATACACAAAATAATGTTCTTTTTAGCAACATCATATGACCCCTTTAATGTTAATCAAACAATAAAAGAAAAGAGGGAATCACTTGCTGTTTTTGCTTGAACTGCTTTTGTAGTTTAAATAATCAATTTATTTGTAAAGAACACCTAAAGTGATTTTTTACATTTGATTATTTGTTTATCTTACTTGAATGCTTTTGTTTAGATGTAAAATGGGAAAGGTAATGCATTATTTTTTCCTTTCTTATATTTGTTCTACTGCTTTTTTGCATTTGTTCTTATTTATAATATTTTTTAAATGTAAAGTCGGCAACACCAAAGCTCCAAAAGTATCAAAAATTTATTAAAAAAAACAAACTTGCATAGCGTGTGTGAAGTTTCGAGCACACAGGCTCTTCTTTGGTGTTGCCGACTTTACATTTAAAAAATGTTTCCACTTGTTTCTTAGTCGAGCAACCAGTTGAGATCGATGTGCGTGCTTTTGCCTGCTCTTTCTTATTTATAATAACAAAGATAAAATAAAAATAGCTATATTATGATTATTAATATTGTAATTTACGGTTATTAATATAGTAATGATCATGAAGAAAATAACTGGAGGAAAAGATGCAATGTTGCTAGGTGATTTTGCTTTGGAACCTTCAGAAAACTTTAACTTGATTTTTCTCAGAATTGAGGTTGCTGACTGTCTAGTTCAAATGGGTGTAGCTCAGTTATTTTTTGTCCGATTTCAACAAATCAGACATCATCATTTGGAACGTCTTAATGGAGAATGTGAAATTTAAAATAATTCTTAAATAATTGTAATAATTTCTTACATTTGTTCATTGTGACTCATTTTGCCAGAACATGTCACGGGTTTTTGTTTTTAAAAAAGCACTTTATAATTATTACACATTTTATTTAATATTTCCATATTTTATATTATATATCCTTGTACGTATTTATTAATTGTTCTTATTCTGTTATTATTTTTAAATGAATAAATCTTTATTGTAATAAAATTAGCCTTAAATGAATAAAACTAAATAAATACATATTTTTAAACACATTGTAAACCTTTTTTTTTGTCATGGGAACAATTTCATCTCTAGTATGTATACAAGTATTGCAAAGAATGTTGGAAAATATGTTTGTTTTTCAGCCATAAAAACAGCCTCCCTCCCTTCCCCAGACAGCCTAACACACATATACACTGAGAGTCAGTTGAAAACACGCTGATGTCGTGTCCCTCGGGAAGAGGTCTCGGTCCCTGTGACATTATGCTGTAGGGTTAGGGTTAAAGAGTTAAGTTAAGGCCTAAAAATTCCCTGCTGGGCTAGTGCTGCTTATAAATAGAGTGTCAGGTCATGAACTGTCAGTGAACTGATCAGATTCAGGAGCCTACGTGCAGAAGTGGGTGAAAAAGAAGGCAAAAGGCGAGTTCCCGGAGAGGATCGATATCAGAGAGTCGTTCTGACTTTGCTTTTTTTTTTTCCTTTTCAGTTCACAGAAACACGGCGCACAGTATCGGCCCAAAGGTTTCTGATAATTAAGTGTTTGTTGGGTACTGATGCTTGTTTGAAATGTTTTGTTAATGATTTAAAGGTGAATGTTGGAATCAGTTCACAATCTTGTTTAAAGTTTGACATGTTTTCATACTTGGAGAGGAATATTCTCCAACCATTTACTGTAAGTTATTTTAAAACTTCTAATTATAAGGAAGTACATTTTGTTTGCTTCAGAAATGTAGTTTAACCTTGTCACATGCAGGTCACATGCCGTGGATTGATGGACTATCATATATTTTTTTTATGAGCCTTTGACTCATTCTCTCCTTTGTAACACTGTCCTGATAACGGATGTGTCCATGTGCACAAATACATTTACATTGCTATTTTTTCCTTTGTGATTCATTAACACTTTCCATGTAAACCCGGAGACCAAAATAAAAGGGGCAGAGGAAGAACAGGAAAGGAAAAACCTCAGCAAAGGCAAGACTTCAGCAATGGCTTCATTGTTCCCTCAGCCTCATAACCCAGATTCAACAAGATTAAAATATATAATCATCACAGGTCTGAGAATGTCACAGATGTCACCTTTTTTTGTCCACTTCATGTAGGTTTATGTAGTTGTATGCTGTGGTATCATACAGTATCTTAGTGGAATTCATTGATGAACTGCGTTTCACAAATACGGAGTAACAGTGAATCCCATTATTTCATTCTAAGATAATATTTTATATATCAATATATATTAATATATAATTTTTTGCCTTTATTCTCTAGTGCATCTGGATGGTTTAGTTTAGTATTTTTCATTATTCTCATTGTAAATGAAAACAACCTTTTTGAGCATGAAGATTTGTCTTTATTATTGCTATTATTAATATTTATAATGAATTATTATGTGCATGAAAAAAAGAAAAAATATGAATATTATTGTGAATATTAAATATCTTATGAATGGAAAGCTGCATCCATACCACTGTGAAGTCTTTGTATGTTCTTTTGTTTTGGTTATTTCGCCCATTACAACCCCTTTTTTCTATTCCAGGCAATGGTGGCATGTTACCCTGGCAATGGCACAGGATATGTACGGCATGTGGATAACCCAAACGGTGATGGGAGATGTATCACGTGCATATATTACCTGAATAAAGACTGGGATGCCAAGGTAGGAGTTTTTTTTCCCCATCCAGTGAACTTGTATACATTCTGTAGCATGTAAAGCTGCTTGAGATTTGTTTAAGCTCTTCTCAGTTTGTTTAGGTTTCTTATCTGATGTAGACTGCTCAAACTTGCATCGGAGCTTACATTCAATACAATGGAGGTTCAAAACCAACCTTGTGCAGGGAGTTTGCTGTTGGTACTTTATATCAATAGGCCACACGAGAGACTGTTTATGTGTTGTTATTAGAGGTCTGCTAGAGCAGAGAAATTGTGGTTGGTGTTGGATTTGTAATTGGTAAAATTTTAATATTTATGTTTTTGTATGTCATGTTTATACATTTAATAATAATTGTACTGCAAAATAATGTCACTACACAAAAAACTAACTTTTCTTTTGTTTACAATACTGTGGAAGTCACTGGTTGTGACCAGATTAAGTGATGACAGAATTTTCTTTTTTTGGGTGAACTATCCATTGAAATGTTTGAGTACTCTCACAGGAAACGGGACAGCAGACATGACACTTTCCACCACTTTACCACCTCCGTCAACTGCCAGCTCTGCGTCAGAGAGTCGGTTCTGCTCCAGAACATTCCAACCGGCCATGGAAACAATTCTGAGTGTTGATCAGACGTTCTTATATGAAGTAGAAAATAGAGTTGGGCAGAAATAGGGATGGTAGAAGAGAAAGAAGGATTGAAGACCTTATCTAGATCATTGGTCTCAAACTCAAATCCTGGAGCGCCACAGCTCTGCACAGTTTAGCTCCAACCCTAATCAAACACACCTGATCCAGCTAATCAAGGTCTTCAGGATTATTAGAAACGTCCAAGCAGGTGTGTTTTGGAGCTGGTTGGAGCTGTGGACCTCCAGGAATTGAGTTTGAGACCACTGCTCTAGATGCTGTTTGAAGGTTAAACGCACTCTTTGCTTGAGACTCTCTAAATGTCTGAATTCTTTCAGTCATATGTTTATGTGAGTATCAAAGCTGCGATGTAAGGATGGATCACATCTCACACATTTAACCCTGATATTTTTCATCTCTCTCAAGCTTAACAGGATGCCAGTAATTCATGGTATAAGCTCTAGTACTCTCCCTCTCATATCGCACCCCCTTCACTGAATGGAGAGGAAAATAGCCGTCTCACGCAAATCTGCTTGTTCCCTGTAGTCTTGGCTTATGTAAAAGTCACAGTGTGTCAGATTTTTTTTCTTTAAGCTAAATTTAGCATCAGGTTGTCCTGGGGCAGGAAAAAATACACTCCCTCCCAGAGTTTTCCCATCCACAACATTCTGTTTTGTGAATGAAACAGTGTTTTTTTTATTTATTTATACTTATATACATTTATACTGTTTTTAAAAGAAGTCTCTTATGCTCACTAGACTGCATATATTGGCTGCATATTATTACAATGTATTATTACAATTTAAAATAACTTTTCTATTGTAATGTAATGAGTTTTCAGCAGCAGTGTTCATTTCTATCAATAATAAAAAGTCTTACTGATAATGTGTTTCTTATTATTAATGTTTTATATTTAAATATGTATTGTGTGTATTTATGTATTTGTGTGTGTGTGTGTGTAATTATCAATATATTTTTTATAATCCTTTAATTATTATAATTGTTTTATTAATATTTTTGTAATTATATGTACATTATATTTGTATAGGTTTTTTCATTTTATAGAAGTACTCATATTGATTCATTGACATGACTGTCTTTAAGTGTACATGATTTTAATCATTTTTCAAGTACAATTCAGTACAATTTTTTGAATTCAAGAAATATGTATGCATTATGGTAGTTTCTAATGTGACAATTAAAAACAAATCATATTTTAAAAAGGTTGTATTTTTGTTGTACTTCATTTATTTTTATGGGAGTGGATTGCCAGAATGTTGAGTTCACCTATTTAGTCGAATACAATTCACTTTTGTGCTAAAGAGTTCTATATAAATAATATTGAATTTCATTTTCTGTTTCA